ACTTTAACAAGATGTCTATTAAGATTTTTAAAATAAGGATTGGAATATGATAGATAAAATAGATTATTTTGGAATGATTTTCTAAGATTTAAATAATATTACATAGATAGGATTTGGGTAGTCTCTGATTATCGATTATTTTTAATGCTTTTAAATGATGAAAATTAAGCACTTACATCTAAAATTATTAAAGCTTAACCCCAAAATATTTAAAGAACCATTTTAAATCTTGAACCTGATGCCTTATAGAATATTGTTTACTCCTTAATTTTTTGAATTAGCTTTTATTAATTTATATAATTACTAAAATTATATTTACTAACTTATGTCAAAAATCTTATATTTTATACTCACAAATATTATATCCAAAATTAAATATTCATATTAATTTCTTATTACATACATAATCAACAAAATCATCAAACTCTGAAGGTTAAGCCAATTCCAATAGGATTTTTTTTTTCAAATTATTCATCTTTATCTTACTTTAATTAGGTATTGTTTCTTTGACTCTAAATGATTCATTCCTTTTTTTATCGATTAATTGTGTTTTTAATTACTTCAGTAATGGTTTTGTTTGTTATTTTGCTTATATTATTCTTGGGGATATGTTAACTTATTTCGAGACTAATAATTAAGTCTATTCAAAAAAGGAAGGATATTTGCTATTTGGTGTAACAGGTAGTGTCATCATTTATCTAGGAGTAAGATGCTCATATTTATGTTATTAGATGATGGAACTTGTTTTCTATATCATTTAATTATTTGCTCCTGCTATGTTAAAATAATGATATCTATCAGAGGGATCAATCATATGCATTCCAATAATCATTTTCTTTCTTTTTTATAATTCGCTGTAAGTTGTGGGTTTAAACATAAATTAATTACATATTCTAAATTAATTTTGATATTTGTTAAACTGAAAATTATAAATTCTGAATTTTAAAGAATGCCTTATACAATTCTTTAAAATATTTAATTATTATATTTGCTTATCACAATAATTAAAGTAATAAATGTGTATAAGGATTTTAGAATAATATTCTATAAATATTTTAAGATATCAAAAGTATAATTAATATTTCTTATCTATTATCATCTTTTCTTAAATACATAATTCAATTTTTATTGGGAGAAATTTATCAAATTTAAATTAAATTTAATATTATTCAGTTAAACTCAAGATTATGCTATATAAATAGAATTAACTTACTTACATTTTTAGGATTGAGACTCATACTGATCATTTTAAATTTAAAAGAAACCAATCTTTTATCTAAAATAAAATGCATGATTAATGAAAGTCTTATAGATACAAAGATAGAATCTATTAAATATAAATATAGAACTGCAGAAAAAAATAACAAAGTCATTCCTCATCCACATCTCGAATTAAAGGGAAATCTTTTGCGATTAAAATATTTTAAGATGAATAGAGTAAAACAAAATATTTTATTATAGAATAAATTCAGAATGCTTTTGTAAAATTTCATGTTATTTAAGTTATTAGAGATTCATTAAAAAAATTACATTTATCCATAAAAATGATGCCATAAACAAAGTTTTAGGATTTTGATATATATTTTATTGACAATATTTTATTATATTACAAAATTCCCAAGAGAAATACATAAATAATACTTGTTGTATTAAGGTAATATTAATAATTTTGAATTAAGTTATTGTAATTTGATATTTTTATTGATTATAATGATTTGAATTAAACAATGTTAATCAAATAATAAAAACAATCTAATTAATTCCAATAATGCTATAATTTGATTATAATTTTTTTATTAAAATTATATGAGCTTGAATCTCCAAGGTTCGAGAAAACCAAGTCAAATGAATAGTCCAAGTTCTATTAAAAAGCCAATCATATCCTCATTACTATTTAATTGTAAAGCTCCTATAAATGTTCCTAACAGTTCATAAGTATCACCTTAAAATTCTGAACAAAATCTCCTAAAACCATTACATTCACATAAAGGATCATAGGTGGATGTAACTAATTTAACAAAATTAATTAAACACAATAAGTCTCCTACTATTGAAGCATTTGATACATAAAATAACTAGAATTCAAGTTAATAATAATTGTAAGCATTGTTTGCCAAAGCTAAAGAAATAACTACTAATAAATAAAAACCATAAATTGTAAAATAATAAGTTCAATCAATTCAAACATAATCAATAAATTAATTGAAAGAACTATTTAATAATAATATATATTGTAGAAACACTTTCCATTTTCATTTTGTTGTTGGAATTGGTGGATTTGGAAAAGTTTGGAAAGTAGAACATAAAAAAACATCTTAGATATATGCAATGAAGGAAATGTCAAAGGCACTGTATAGTTATACTTAATTATATAGAATTATTACAAAAAAAAGTGTCAATTCAGTTATGAATGAAAGAATATTGTTAAGTCAATTGAAGCATCCTTTTTTAGTTAATATGAATTTTGCATATTAAGACAGAGAAACTCTTTATTTAATTATGGATTATATGTCAGGAGGTGACCTCAGATATCATATAGGAAGAATGAGAAGATTTAATGAAGAATAAACTAGTAAGAAATATTTACTATATTTTTTGAGGGTTTTTTGTAGCTTGCATATTTTTAAGTTTAGAATATGTTCATGATAGCAAAATAATTCATAGAGATATTAAACCTGAAAATCTAGTCTTAGATAGTAAAGGCTATGTACATTTAACTGATTTTGGTATAGCAAGAGTAATGAAACCTGAAAATTCAAGTGATACAAGTGGCACACCTGGTTATATGGGTAATTATTATTTTAAACTTACAGCTCCTGAAGTGATGTATAGATAAAATCATACATATGCTGCAGATTATTATGCTTTAGGTGTAATTGCATATGAATTTATGTTAGGCAGAGTATTATTATACTAAATTATTAGAGACCATATGTAGGGAGATCAAGATAAGAAATAAGAGATTAAATCATGGCTAAATAAGTACAAATAAAAAAATCTGAAATCCCTGATAATTGGTCTTTGGAAGGTGCCGATTTTATCAATAGAGTATTTTATTAAATCAAATCCTATCCAGCTTTTATAACGAAAGCCCTAATAACGATTAGGGTTTAATGGAAGTCAAGAAATCCGTTAGCATCCTTGGTTTTTAAATTTTCCATGGCAAAAGCTGAACAATTTTGAGCTTGTTCCACCATTTTAACCTAATGTAAATAATAATTATTAAAATAGAGGACTGAAGATAATTTTGATTAAAAGCAAATTCTCATAGAAGATGAAGAAAATAATGAACTCATTTAATAAAATTTGCTTGTATTAAAAGATCCAACTACTCAAGGTATCATAATTTAAATCATTAAGATCTATTTTAGGGTTATGAATTTAATGTAAATTAAAGTCAAAATAAGATTTCATCAACTACTGATTAATCATCAAGTTCATCATCTAAACACAGCAGAAATTTTAGTCAATAAATAGAAAAATAATAATATCTTGAGTATCGTAATAAGTGATTCTATTGATACCATTCATATAGTATATATATGCTGTTTTATTTTATTTTTAAAATTAACTAGATTATATTAGGGTTTATCTTAAACTTTGGGAATTTAAAATAGTTTTGATTTTTATAGGTAGTTTTATACAATATCTGAATTATATTAAAATTTTTTATTTTCATTTATTTTGCAATATATTAATTTTTTAAATCAAAAATAAGTAAAAATTAATATTTAATTATAAAGGAAATTTTTCATAAATTATCATCCTGATCATTTATTTCTAAAAATAAAACTAATTATTTATTCAAATTAATCATTCTAAAATACTTTTGGAGATATCTCATATTAATTTGAACTATAACAATGAATAGGTCAAATTTAATATTTTCTTCAGAAATCATTGTAATTATTTGAAATTAATGTTTATTTTAAATTATTAAATGGTAATTTAATTTATACTTAAGATATAGACAAATTAAATTTTTGATAAATACTGAATAAAGAGATTGTTTTTAATTAATAATAGTAAAATCACTAAAAAATCATATTCTCTAAAGATCTATGAAGTCTTATTACGATTACAAATTAATTTCAGAATTTGGTTGCTTATTCTAACAAAAAATCTTATATTTTAATTTGAAAATAAACTGAATTAAGAATCATCATTAGTTATTTGAAGGTGTACAATGTTAGTTTTAAATTTAGCTTTTATTATATTTAAATGTATTTAGGAAATCATTAAATTTCATTAAATTAAATGATTAGAAAAATATCGTAAAAGAAATAAAAAATTAACATAGTAAAAAAGAATACAGAAAAGAACACAAAAAAAGACATTGAATAAATTTAAAAGCTAATTCTGTTGTTACAACATTTGGATACTGATTTAAGTTTCTTGAAAGAGGATAATCTAATCTTAAAAGATAATGTTAATACAAATTGTAAAAATAAATCTACTGATAAATTAATTGCCAAAGGATTAAAAGAGAGTAATTTTTATTATAAATGTAGATTAAACCCGCAAAACTTAAAAGTAACCTCATCCTTTAAAAGACACATCAACATTAGAATAAGAAACTCATTTTTTATGTCGAGATTTTTTAAATTAGTAAAAGAGAAATAAAAAGAAGAATAGAGTGTGAATTATAATTTATTAAGAAAATTAAATTAAAAAAATCAGATTCATTTCTTCTAATTTATTCAATCTAAAAAAATATAGAAATTTGAAAGAAAATGTTTTCAATTTTATCAAAATTTTTTAAAAAGAACAATAATGTTTGTATTTGAAATATTTAATTCTTTATCCATCCCTTATTGCATTATATACCCATTATCTTATCAATGCAAGAGCTAATTCAACATTTTGTTGATTTAAATCAGCCTAAAATTAATCAAGAAAAATTTTCTAATTATTAATAAATTATAAATATAATTTCTAAGAAATTATAGAAGATTGATTAATTTTAATAATCCAGTTTTTTAATATAATTTAAGTAAACAATGGAAGATATCCTCGAAGTTGAAAACAATAATAAAATTACTTAAGAAGTTTATTTAAAAGCAATTAAAGAACTTAAGGGGATGTACCTAAATAAATTAAAAAAAATTAAAAAAGCTTAACAAATTAGATAAATATCTTAAAGAGAATTAAGTGAATACACTAAAAAAATATTTAATTAATATGAATTATTATTAGAATAGTAAAAAAAATGTTAATAAAGGGAACTATCAGATGTTAATGATTAAGAAATCCTTTCTGTTGTAAAGACAAAAAAAGATAACTACTTGATTATAACAGAAAAAGGTATACATTATTAATGTAAGTGTCATAAAATGAAATTTAAAACATATTAAGAATTAGGGGGACATTAAAGAACATTAAAATGAATAATTATAATCCAAAATTAATAATAAGTATATTATTTATATTTTTTAATATAATAATCATTTAAAACATGAGATTATTAAATAATAATAAATACCATTAATCTATTTAATTTAAATATTATGATAAGTATAAATATTAACATCATTGTGCTATAATTTTTAAGTGTCTAGTTAAGAAATTAAAACAAATCTATGAAATATAAATAAATAAATTTTCAAATTAGCTCCTCAGTCACTTTTGTTCCCATATTTATCTTATTTTTGATTTCCTCAAAATTTTTAAGTTTTAATATACTTTTTTTTATAGAAATTTTAATTATACAGCAAATAACTAGTGATTCTTTATTATTATTATTATTCTGCTTTATTGTAACTTCATTTTTACAAAAGCTTTTTATTATTTGGATTTTAATCTCAAAATTTCTAATGATATTTATCTACCAAAAGACAAGATTATTTTAGACTTTTTATCAAATAATGAAATATATTAATTTGCTTAATCCATTAATATAATTTCTCATAATGTTTTATTGATATTGAAATACTAATATGAATAAATATTTCTTAATTTAATCATTAAGTTTTAATATATTAAATATTAATATTTCATTCTATAAGTAGAAAAGTAAGAGAATTCTCATAAAATTACATAATCTAAGAGTTTGGATATCGTATTTTAGAATAGAAATTGTTCATTTTAGTATGATGGAGACTCATGAATCACTTAATAAGTCATCATTTTTTAATAAATATTGTTAATATTATAATTACATCATCAAGATTTCATGGTTTTTGGATCTCCAATTAGCTTCCAAGAAATAGATGAAGAAGCCCTAATTACTGGAGGAAAAGTAATGGCTTTTACAGTGATATTTGGTATAATTGCCATATTACAAACATTTTGTGAACATCATCATATAGCAGTCATGAGAGAAGCATCAGTGCCTATTCTTTTTGGATTAGTTTTTGGTTTAATAACATTTATTGAGTATTTTTCTGGAGGAATATACTTTGATCCTAAAATATTTTCTTTTGTATTGTTGCCAATTATTGTATTTAAAGAAGGTTATTGCCTAAATAAATAACATTTTATGAAAAACTACTTTTATGTATTGATTTATGGTATATTTGGGACTATAATTCAATTTCTTTTATCATTTAGTTTTACATATTCTTTAACTAATTCAAGTNAACATTAAAATGAATAATTATAATCCAAAATTAATAATAAGTATATTATTTATATTTTTTAATATAATAATCATTTAAAACATGAGATTATTAAATAATAATAAATACCATTAATCTATTTAATTTAAATATTATGATAAGTATAAATATTAACATCATTGTGCTATAATTTTTAAGTGTCTAGTTAAGAAATTAAAACAAATCTATGAAATATAAATAAATAAATTTTCAAATTAGCTCCTCAGTCACTTTTGTTCCCATATTTATCTTATTTTTGATTTCCTCAAAATTTTTAAGTTTTAATATACTTTTTTTTATAGAAATTTTAATTATACAGCAAATAACTAGTGATTCTTTATTATTATTATTATTCTGCTTTATTGTAACTTCATTTTTACAAAAGCTTTTTATTATTTGGATTTTAATCTCAAAATTTCTAATGATATTTATCTACCAAAAGACAAGATTATTTTAGACTTTTTATCAAATAATGAAATATATTAATTTGCTTAATCCATTAATATAATTTCTCATAATGTTTTATTGATATTGAAATACTAATATGAATAAATATTTCTTAATTTAATCATTAAGTTTTAATATATTAAATATTAATATTTCATTCTATAAGTAGAAAAGTAAGAGAATTCTCATAAAATTACATAATCTAAGAGTTTGGATATCGTATTTTAGAATAGAAATTGTTCATTTTAGTATGATGGAGACTCATGAATCACTTAATAAGTCATCATTTTTTAATAAATATTGTTAATATTATAATTACATCATCAAGATTTCATGGTTTTTGGATCTCCAATTAGCTTCCAAGAAATAGATGAAGAAGCCCTAATTACTGGAGGAAAAGTAATGGCTTTTACAGTGATATTTGGTATAATTGCCATATTACAAACATTTTGTGAACATCATCATATAGCAGTCATGAGAGAAGCATCAGTGCCTATTCTTTTTGGATTAGTTTTTGGTTTAATAACATTTATTGAGTATTTTTCTGGAGGAATATACTTTGATCCTAAAATATTTTCTTTTGTATTGTTGCCAATTATTGTATTTAAAGAAGGTTATTGCCTAAATAAATAACATTTTATGAAAAACTACTTTTATGTATTGATTTATGGTATATTTGGGACTATAATTCAATTTCTTTTATCATTTAGTTTTACATATTCTTTAACTAATTCAAGTATCTTTAATTATAATTTAGATAATTTATGGTATCCTCCTAAAAATTCAACTGATGAAGATCAATCATTCTATTCTTAGATGTTTTTCTCAGCTTGTATTACATCAAAGGATAGTGCTGTTAGTCTTAGTGTTCTTGAATTTGAACATGCTCCTAAGCTACATAGTATAATATTTGGAGAATAAATATTAAATGATGTAATTGTATTTGCTCTTTCCTCTACAACACAAAGATATGAAAATTCAAATGATAATTTTAAAAGAGGTGATTGGTATAATTTTTTAATTTTTATTGGATTGGCATTAGCATAATTGATTTTTGGATTATTGGTTGGTATAGCAACAGGTAATTAAACTTTATATTTTCTTTAGGTCTTATTTCAACATGGATTACTAAAAATGCGAGATGTATATCTGAGCATTCTTCTGTTTTAACAATATTTACTATATATTGTGCATATTTTGCATTTAGTTTTTGTGAGGCTTTTGATTTTTGTGGTGTAATGGCAGTTTTAATTTGTGGAATTATGATGTCTCATTACTAAACGTATAATTTACCTAAATTATCTGCTAATTCATCTAAGTATCAAATTTTATAATTATTTAGAATTACTATTAAAGCTCTTGCATATGCGACTGAAACCATTATATATTTTTATATAGGTTTTGCTGTAACTGGAAATGAAATTAATAATATCGATCGCTTATAATATTACACTATCTATCCTTTTGTTTTACTTCAATTCTTTATCATTTAACCTGTGTCAAGATTATTATCTATGTTAGCATCATAAGGATTGGCTTTTTTGTAAATTGATAATCATAATTATTAGAATAAAACCTGATTCTAAAGGTGCATTGAGAATCAATAGATATGAATTTTTAATATTATTTTATGCAGGTTTAATTAAGGGAGTTATTGCATATGCTTTGATTTGTGAAGTGGATATTGATTATGCTAAATATTCCCCATATTATCCATATATTAATTATGCAGCTATGTATTCAATTATAGGAACTACTTTATTTATTGGAGGTTCTTTGAAATATGTGACAGAATGGGCATATTAATAAATGGATTTAGGACATCTATAAGAATCATCAGATAATTCTGAATATAAAAGCAATTTAAAATAAACATTTATTCGTGAAGATATTAAAGCTTATGAAAGTGCTATTTAAAATAATTAAAAATGGTTTAAAAAATTTGATGAGAATTATATAAAGCCATTTTTAATTTTTAACTATTTAGAGAGAAAATAGGATATTTTAACAGCTAAAAAAATAAAAAAGAATAAGCATACTATAGAAAAGTAGGAAGAAGAAGAAATGTAAATGTATGAAGATAGTATAAGAGAAAGAAGAGAAAAATAAGAAATGAAAAAAGCAGCTAAAAAAAGCAAATTAACAAATTTGGATTTAGATAGTGAAGCAGAAGAAGAAGAAGATTCTTAACATCATTAAAATTAAAATAAGAGTAATCATCATTGAATTCTCTTTTTTTTTTTGATCAATTTATTGTATCAATAATATTATATTCAATTATATAATATTTAAATTAAATTTATCAGTCTAATAATTTTCAATATTATAAAATATTAACGATTAGAAATAATCTAATTAAATTTATGAGTAAATAAGGTTTAGAGAATGAAATCAATAGAAATGACCTTATTTTCAAAGATCCATAAAAAAATTACTAATTAAAAAGATAATTAATCTATTAATTATATTCTAATTTATACTAAAATATTATAAATACTATTGGTCAATAGAAACTATAGATATAAATATAGATAAAAAAAGAACCAAAGTATATACTTCATAATTTATAGTCCTACAAATCTAAATAAAAATTGTTACTTCAAGAAATATAAATTTATAAAATATCAATCTAATTTAATAATCTTATATAATATTGCTAATAAAAATTAAGTGTTACTTAAATCTCCTTCTATAATAATTAGTTAAAAAGATTAGTATAAATAATTTCAAATCTTGTAAAATAATTACTTTATAATATAATATATATTATTTATGAATCCTAAATAATTATCAAAGGTTTATAGAAATGACTTGGAAAATAGTTTTATTAGAAAATTTTAAAGATCTTTCTTAAATTTGGGTTTGAAATCTAGTCAGACTACAAGAGTTCAAATATATAAATAAAAATAACCGAGATATCAAATAAATGAGAAGTTGAAACAATTATCTGAATGGAATGAATAAAAATATAATCATAAAAAGTAGTTACATTAATTTCAATATATAGGCTTATATATTATCCTAGAGCTAAAAGTTCAGAAAGCTCAATTGAAGGATAAAATAGTAAAAAAGCATCTTAATTTTTTTTACTATTGCCTTATCACTGTTCTGCTCAAAAAAGATTCTATTAATGTAGGATGATGTGGAAACGATTGATATTAGCAGTGGAAGTTATACTATATTACAGTAAATTATAGAAGGAACAATTAATATCTAAGACTGCGTCATGTCCTCACATTCCTCCTAAAAGAAACAGTCTTAAAAGTCTTAATTATCCTACAAGTCCACCAAAAAGGAAATTCAGAAGTAGAACTTAGGGGGATGGAAAGAATTAATTAAATGGT